CGCTTCCCAAGCGGCGCACTATCCAGTGCGCCACCGGGCCGGCCCTTTTCTTTGTTGTTTGACACAGATGATTATTCTCATCTTAAGCGTTCTCTTTCTCTGACGTCTGAACCACTGCATTTTCCTAGTTTTCTTTGTACTTTTCTCACTATACTTTTGGTCGTTGTTGTCGTATCCACCCATAATATTCAACTATGTATAATTATCAAAATACAGACATAAATAGTATAGCTTAGCAGTTAAAGAGGAGGAAATGTGGAGCAAGACTGCCTGCCTTTAAATTTCATCTCTACCATTTCTTAACTTTGTGAGGATGGGCAAGTTAACAGTTTACTTCCTTGTTTGTAAAATTGGCTTAAAAAAAAAAAGATATCTCAACCTCTTTGGATTATTGAGGGCATTACATTTACTTCATTAAAGTCCAGCATAGTGCCTCGTATAAAGGAAGCATTCCAGTGGGGTCCATTCTCATGTCTTCAGCGTTTATCTTTATGGGGAATGCTCAAATATTAATCTTTAATCCTGACTTATTTTCTAAACTCCATTCCCATATCACCATCTACCTTCTAAACTTTTAGACTTGAACTCACATTTCCTATGTGAGAACAATGTAATAGAAGAAATACAGTGTAGGATTGAACTCTATGCATCCTTGCTCCTCAAAGTTGCCTGCGTTCCCTCTCAGGCTTGCTATGAGCTCCTAGAGGTCTCTCTCCAGTTCTTACATGTGGATTTCTATATCTCAGAGCATCAACCATGCGTTCCTCTCATACTTTGAATCTCTCTGATTTCCCCTTCTGCCACATCACTTCTGTGCTTTCCATTTTTTCTGGTAGGAGGCATTCTCTGCTTTTCAGGATTCATGTGATTTGATGGAGCCCACCCAAGTAATCCAGGGTAAACTCCTGTTTTAAGGTCTATACTGTAATTACATTTGTAAAGTTCTTTTCGCTAGTAATGTAACATATTTACAGATTCTGGAGATTAGGGTATGAATCTTTAGGGGCCATTATTAGGGGCCTATGACATGCGCATAAAGAACTTGAAGTCTGGTTAGGAGATAGACAAGTGTACGAATAAAACCAAATTGAAGGGTTAGAGATGCTATAACAGAAGTTAGTACTCTATATATAATGGGAGAACAAAGGAATAAAATAATGTTACTAAGAGAGAGAGTGACATTTGAGCTGAATGTGGAAAGATGAACACGATAAGTGGCTGGGAGGTTATTTCAGGGAGAGGAAGCAATAATAGTGGTAGCAATAACAACAACTGGCTGTACACTTTTATGATTATCTCACTGAAATCCTCACGAATGGTAGATACTGTCATCATCTACCATTATAACTTCTACATATAAAGCTGTAATGTCATATTTGGAATAGGAATGGTAAAATTATCTCACTGGGTTGTTGAAAGGGTTAACATTGATTACACATGACTAAAGCATAGCACATAGTAAGTGCTTAAAACATGGCAGATGAAAGAGAGTAGAGGGTGGAGGCAAATTTGATGGACTTAGTCACTGCTTCTGAAAGTGGGAGGTGGGAGAGTTCAGAATGACTTAGGGAGCTCTTTGGTTTAAGAGCTTGAATGGAGGGTGGTGGTGTTTAGGGCTACAGGAGGGGGAATAGGGATTTTTTTTGGTTTTTTTTTTTTTTTGTTTTTGATGAGTCCAGGGCTTTGGAAAGAGTAAAGGATGAGTTCAGGATGTACTTGTGGGAATAGTGTATTGAAATTAAATGGAAATTTAAATAGTATAAATCAAACACCCAGAAGAGCGGTCAAAGGTAAAGTTGTCACTATTTCTTCAAATTCATCATGTCTAAAATAGAATTTACCATCTTCTCAAACTGGTTTTTCATCTTAACTTCCCTGCTTCTTCTCACCATTCTCTTATTTTCTTAAGCTTAACATCTATTTATTATTATTCTTTTTTTCATCCTTGACTCCTGTCTCTCCTCACCTAGTGCTGGGCTGGTAAATGTTTGACAGCCAGCTCTCTGGAGTTTTCTTAAGCTTAACATCTATTTATTATTATTCTTTTTTTCATCCTTGACTCCTGTCTCTCCCCACCTAGTGCTGGGCTGGTAAATGTTTGACAGCCAGCTCTCTGGAGTGGAAGAAGCCTCAATTGCAGTGTTTGCTGATGTCTGTGGTGCACATACTACCACCATGGCCAGTTCCAGGCTATGGCTTTTATGCTACAACAGCAGAGTTAAAAAGCTGCAGCAGAGGTCCCATGGGCCCACAAAGCCTAAAATGTTTACTATCTGGCCCTTTATAGAAGTGTGTGCCATCCTTTGCTATATAGTATCCTCAAAGTAATAAAATATTAAAATGGGAAGATAATTCCCTACCTCTATTCACTCCTTCTATCCATCAGGATGAGGGGGAGGTTTGTGTAGTTCAAGGGGCCAATATATGAGATCATGAAAGGTTTTGAGGTCATTTTATAGACTTAGGTTTTTTTCTTTCAGTGACATGAGAGTAGTGATATGATCTAACTTATGTTTCAAAAAGAAAACTGTGGCTGCTATGTTGAGAAGAGATCATAGGGCAGCAAAGATGGAAGCAGGAAGATCAGTTGGGAGGCCACTGTTATAAGCTAGGTAAGAGCTGGTCTGTGCTTGGATCAGTGTAATAGCTGTAGAAGTGGCAAGGTGAGTTCAGATTCTGGATACGTTTTGAAGATAGAACTTGAAGATAGAAACAGGATTTGCCAATGGTAAAAAGAGGAGTTAAGAATAAGTCCAGGGTGGAGAAGCAGTACCAAAAGGACTGAGGCAGCTAGAGCCTGAGTTACTGAGATCACATTATAGCAGGCCTCTACATTAGAGGCTTTAGGAAGAAAATTGAGACTTCAGCCTTTTTTCTTTTAAGCCACTTCTTCTTAACCCATGAGAAAAAATTATATGTCCCACGAGAAAAAATTCTTTGTCTAAAATAGTATTTTCTTTATTTTTAAGAAATACATTTTACATATCAGCCAGCCACAAAAAAACAACAAAAAGACATTTTGGAATAAATCTAGGAAGCACAGTAATGTTTCTGAAATACAGCATTCTTAGAACAGGAAACCATAATAAAACCATTTTGGATAAGATGATTTTGATCCTGTGATTTGGTGACTTAAAAAAAAATCTATTCAAAAATGAACAATTTGGGGGGAGTCAATTCCAACTCCTCCCCAAAACCTTAAAAGTTTAGTTTCCAAAAGTTAAGAGTTAATGTTTTATTGTACTGTGAATACATTATTACTCATGTCTTTTGTGTAGGTTTTACTTGTAATGGACACAAGGACAGACCAGACATTCATTTTAAAGGTAAGTAGAATTTGTATGTTTAATGAATTTAAAAATTTATTTTCAAATAATGCTTTTGAAAGAAAAGATATTTAGTATTTTTTCCTAGGCATTTGAATGTTCTTTTAAGTATGCGGTGATCTGTATTTATTTCTCTTTGTGTCCTTCTGTCACAGTTGATAAATACCATATAGTATACATTTAAATACTGTGTAGTATACATTTTAAAAGAGTTTTATGCTATAGAATATGGAGGAGGGCAATAAACTATTAATCTGCTGTACGGCCAAGGAATAACTTAGATAAATTGAAGAATCATTTTATGATGTTTAAATGTGTAGTGTGTAGTTTAAATACATCTCAAATACATTTTGTATAGTTTGTGAATACCACATGCAGTCTCACCTTTGATTATGACTGCGGATCTTATGAGCTGAAATTTTGCTTTAAAGTCTTTGTTACATACAGGTATTTGGGAAAGTGTTAACTATATCCCTGCCCCCCACCCCTTTTTAAAACTAAGTTCAATTTTGATTCTATATACTGTATAACTCAATTTATAACTAAATGAGTAAGGAGAGAAAAAAACCCATCAACTTTTTAAATTTTAAAATTGTATTTATAATAAATTGTGATAGTACATGTTATAAAAATATCCTAACTTAAGCATTTCCACGGCATCCAGGAGGTGAATTGATTAATTTTATATTTCTTTTTCTGATAATTTTTCTTTTGCTGATAAGGCACAGCAGTAGTTCACACTGACACATACTGAAACACATTTCTTTTTATGAATATTCTTTATCACTGACATTTCCCTAGTTTTTAAAACCAGGGTTTGACACCAGAAAATACACACACCTTATTCCTTTCAATGTGACTTAATAATCTTTGTACTTTTTTGGAATAGAATTTAAAAATTGCCTGTTTAATCTAAGAATACCTTTTGTGTCTGAGGAATTTGAATTGATCTCATAACATCTACTGCTTGAAAGATATACATAAGTAAAATAAAATTTAAGAAAAGGTCATAGAGAAATAACTGTGTGTCATTCTGATGACTTAGTTTGAGAGCATCTCTAATAAAAACACTGACCCACATAATTGATTTTAATGGCAGCTTTGTGGCATCTTCCGTTTTCTGGCCTCACGCCAGATGCCATCAGCAGAGCCTCTAGGGACGGAGGGGCATAGAACAGCAGATGAGTGGTTTCTCTGAAGCCCAGAGTAACTCGGATAGATTAGTTTGGTTGATAAACACAGAGCACAGCAGGCTCCAAAGGCAACTGAGGATACAACTGACCTTTTTGTTCTCTGTCAGGGTCTAAGGAAAAGCAGTGAATACAGCAGGAACAGAAAGACCATCATCCCCCGCTGTGTGCCCAACATGGTGTGTCTGCACAAGTACATCATCTCTGAGGAGTCGGTGTTTCTTGTGCTGCAGCATGCAGAAGGTTGGTTTGTATTTTAGATTGCTTATGGAGTGAAGAATGTCACCTACTTAGCTTTCAGTTTCTATAATGTCCTTCTTCTGTCATTTCATGAGCAGATAAAATATATGAAACAGATGTAAGAAACTGTTTCCTTATTTCTTTGCTCTACCTCCCTACTTTGAGTTGTGAGGAAAATGAACTCCCAGTTGAACAGCAGGTTTCATTTGAACTATATTACCATTCTTAGATATATTTAACTACTTACTTTCTCATAGAATTTATCTAATATAATGAGAACTTTAATGTGAACACGTGCTAAGAGAGCTTGGTTTTATTTTAGGGATTTTATTTTGTTCTCTGCTAAAAAGATACATTTATGTTAGATGACAAATGAAAAGCATCCCCTGAAGAATTCATTAATTACCTCCTCCTTTTTTTTTTTTTAGAAGACAAGGGTGTTTGCTTAACATTTGACATTATGTTGTTATTCTGATTCGAGTTTTTATGAATACAGCCATTGGCATCACATGTGGGTGCAAAGCAGAGGCACAATGCTGTGCCTTCAAACTGTTTGTGAAGTTTCAGCTCTTAGTTGAGGGAACAGGTGGCAAAAATATTATGTTTTGATTTGTTTTGCCCTTTAACACCTGAATTTAAATAAATAGTCTTTCATTTAGGATGTCTGAATCCAACATATAAATTCACTTAATAAATATTGCCTTTTGGCTTTTAAGAGATGTTCTTAAAAATAGTAAAAAAAATTATTTTCCATATTTTATGAAGGCATTATTATTTATATATTACTTAGAATAAAGAACAGTTTTGCTGTACTAATAGGCGTAACATTTGAATTTAATACATTTTTCCAGGAAAAGGAGTCATTGCTTTCTGGAATGAGGTCTCTTATGATAACTAATGCAAGATTTTTGATGGGGGCAATAAACTATTAATATTGTTTATTATGAGGTACAGCACAAGATAACTACAGATGGAGGGAAGACCTCCATATGCATTATTTAATAGAAAATTCAGAAGGGGCTCCATAGTCTCTCAGGTATTAAGAGAGTTAATTGCTTGTGTGAATTGGATAACTAATTCACCTTTGTTCAGACATTATGGACAGCTTTTATCCGAGGATACCAGTGCATTACAGACATTATTGAATTAGAGGTCATGTCATCTGATAGCGAAATACAGCCACCTCTGGTGTGGAACAAAATAACTTGCGTAGTAATAATACATAATAATTTAGAACAAGGTCAGTAGGATGAATGTAATTATAGTCAATATTCTATTACCCAGTGTGGATTATTCATGTTGGAGATTATCTGTGGCAAATTTTCTATCCTAGTTTACCTCTGTTATTTGTAATGTTGTCTTCCTCCTCTTTTTCCTTCTCCAAATCATGCTTCAGTTTTTCTTTTGCCATTTTCTCACCTCCCCTTATATTTCTTGAATCTAATATTTCAATGGATTTTACTTTAATGCTATAGAAAAATTTTATAATCTGTCTTAAAGTTATAGACATATAACTTTTAAGTTGTCCACTGTTTTTGGTCATCTTTACCAAGTCTCTTTTCCTTTACTGTTGACCACACCTGCCTTTGAATGGTCACATGACCATAGAATTTATCCTATATTATTTAAACTTAGGGGAGGATCTTTTTGACTGTTCATTTCAGGTATCTATTGTTTAATTTCACGAAGGTTTTATAAACAAAATAAGTTATAGTACAAACAGGGACTCTGGATTCATTTAATGTTCAACAATTTTATTGTGCATGTACTGGGTAGTAGACTCTTTTTAGGTGAACAAGACAGGAAAAGAGCCTACCCTTTTAAAACCTAAATTCTAGGTCCGGCCCGTGGCTCATTTGGGAGAGCGTTGTGCTGACAACACCAAGTCAAGGGTTAAGATCCCCTTACCGGCCATCTTTAAAAGAAAAACCAAAACTTAAATTCTTGTGGTGGAAAGTCAAACAGAAAAATGAAAAGCAGGAGAATATTGGATACTAATAGAGTCTATACTGATCTTTAACACAGGGAGATCTAATAGAGAACACCTGGGGGACTACTTTAGATTGGGTAGTCAAAGGAGCCCTCTCTGAGAAGGTGACATTTAAGAGGAGTTATGAATGGCAAAAGAAACAACCATTTAAATGTAAGATACAGGGATCAATGTAAAAACAAACTTGGAAGGTCTGATGAACAAGAAAGGAGACCATTTGGTCAGAATGTAGTAGGTGAGGACAACAGGGATATATAAGGCTACTGGAGAAAGAGGCAGGGGACTTGTACAGCAGTGTAAGGATTTTGGCTTTTATTCAGATGCATCGGGAAACCACTGGACATCTTACGGAATGACAGGGGTCCAATTTACATTTTGAAAAGGTCACTCTGGCTGTTGTATGGGGAATGGGTTGTAGAAAGGCAAGAATAGAAACAGTGAAAAGGCCAATACAGTCATCCAGGCAGGAGATGATGATGGCATGACCTTCTGGGGTACTAGTGGAGATGTTTTCAGAGTAGATCAATAGGACCTGCCATGGATTTGAGATTAGGAAGAGAAGATTCTACAGTAATTTCTCAGTTGGCTTGAGCAGTGAAGTGAACTGGGTGATGAACAGTGTGTCTTTTACACATCAGTGGTACTTTCTCTGGCACCTCCATGAATGAGGAGGTTGTGCATACATCATAATAAAGCCTTTTTCATATGTGTGAATAGTTATTACTGATAAAGTAAACCTGGAAGAATTATTTTTTCCATAATATGAATGCTTGAGTATTTGTGATTTGTGGCTTTAGCTTCCCACTGCTTACAGAACTATTTATGATTTATGTGAGTCTGTTTGATTCATTTTCTTTGGATTTTTAATTCATTCAGTTAGAAATTTATTGAGGACTTACTGGGACACAGGCATAGTTCTAATATGGCAGTGAACAAAATAGAAGACTTTGCCCACATGGAGCTTATATTTCATTTTAGAGATGGAACATACAATAAGCGAGTACATAAGTGAATATATGTCAGATGGAGGTAAATGCTATGGAGAATTTTATTTATTTATTTTTTTGCCAACAGGGCCTTTTTTTTAAAATTAAAATTTTTTTTATTATTAGCATATTCATTCTTACAAATCGTGATGTTTCTTTACCCTTTGCCTGACCTATCACTTCCCAAACCCTCTCTCTCTCTTCCCTCCATCTCTAGTATCATTAGGTTTCTTCTCTCCTTCTGAAGTTCAATGTATTGTTGTGGTTCTTTCTTCTTTTTTTCCTTCATTGTTTCCTTCTTCCCTCCTTCCCTCCCCTACCCCCCACCTTCCTTCCTAGCAGCTAGTTATGAGTGAGAACATGTGGTATTTTTTTTCTTTGTCTGGCTTATTTCATTAACGTAATTGTCTCTAGACTCTCCATGTTGCTGCAAATGTCAGAATTTTATTCTTTTTTTATGACTGTGTATTATTCCATTGTGTATATGTACCACATTTTCTTTATCCAGTCATCCGTCGATGGACGCTTAGGTTGGTTCCATATTTTGGCTAATGTAAATAGAGCTGCAGTGAATATGGCAGTGCAAGTATCCCTTCAACATGATGATTTTCATTCCTTTAGCTATATACCAAGTAGTGGGCTTGCTGGTTCATATGGTAGCTCTATCTGTAGTTGTTTGAGAAACCTCCATACTGTTTTCCATAATGGCTATGCTAATTTACAGCCCTACCAACAGTGTAGAAGAGTTCCTTCCCCTTTCCCTGCATCCTTGCCAGCATTTGTTATTCTCGGTCTTTTTAATAATGGCCAGTCTAACTGGGGTGAGATAGTATCTCAGTGTAGTTTTGATTTGCATTTCTCTGATGACTAGTGATGCTGAGCATTTTTTCATGTACCTGTTGGCCATTTGTATGTCTTCCTTTGAAAAGTGTCTATTCATCTCCTTTGCCCATTTTTTAATTGGATTATTTGTTTTTTTACTGTATAATTGTTTGAGTTCTTTTGTATATTCTGGATATTATTCTCTTGTCGGATGTATAGTTTGCAAATATTTTCTCCCATTCTGTAGGTTGTCTTTCTGCTCTGTTGATTATTTCCTTTGCTGTGCAGGATCTTCTTAGTTTGATATAAAGTTTATTTATTTTTCTTTTGTTGCTTGTACTTTTGGGGTCTTATTCATAAACTCTTTGCCCAGTCCTATTACCTGCAGTGTTTCTCCTATATTTTCCTTTAGTAATTTTATGGTTTCATGTCTTGTATTTAAGTGTTTAATCCATTTTGAGTTGATTTTGGTATATGGTGAGAAGTACAGTCCAGTTTCATTTTTCTGCATATGGATATCAAATTTTGCCAGCACTGTTTATTGAAGAGGTAGTCTTTCCCCCAATGTATGTTCTTATTGCCTGTGTCAAAGATCAGTTGGCTGGCAGTATGTGGGTTGATTCCCAGGTTTTCTGTTCTGTTACAATGGTCTGAGTGTCTGTTTTTGTGCCAGTCCCACACTGTTTTGGTTACAATAGCTTTGTAATATAATTTGAAGTTGAGTAGTATTATGCCTCTATCTTTTTCTTTTTTTTCTTAGGATTTCTTTGGCTATTCAGGGTCTTTTGTCGTTCCATATGAATGTTTGGATTGCTTTTTCTATTTCTGTGAAGGACCTAATTGGTATTTTGATGGGTATAGCATTGAATCTGTAGATTGCTTTGGGTAGAATGGACATTTTCATGATGTTAATTCTTCCTATCTGAGAGCATGGTATGTCTTTTCACCTTTTTGTGTCCTCTTTAATTTCTTTCAGAAGTGTTTTGTAGTTCTCATTGTAGAGATCTTTCACTTCCTTGGTTAAATTGATACCTAGATATTTTATTTTTTTTGGCAACTATTGTAAGCTGGCTTAATTTCTTGATTTCATTTTCTGCTAGTTTATTATTGGAGTATAAAAGTGCCATTGATTGTTGGGTGTTTTTGTATTCTGCAACATTACTGAAATTGTTAATCAGCTGTAAGAGTTTTTTGGTAGAGTCCAT